AACTACGGGGAACCATGCAAAAAACGCATCTTCGCACGGGCAGCCCGTGCGTTGGCCAATTTTTGTCGCTAGCGGCACTGATTTTTCCGGCAAATGTTTCTAGCTAAACAAATTAAGACTGGCCGCCAGAACTAGCAGGAAACACCCCTTTAAAATTTCAGCTTTCTAGTTTTCCTGGCTCCTGAGTTAGCAACTTACTGGAAAAAATTTCACGGGTCCGCACGCGGGTACCACGCATACCCCATGTCTGGGTTTGAGCTCGTTGAGACTTGGACGTGGAACATCTTCTTAAAACTACAGCCTTTTAGCTTTTCAGGTCCTCGAGTTATGAAGTTCCCGAAGATAACTTTGGTGAACCTGTATGTAGGTACCACGCATGACCGAAAGCTATGTTTGAGCTCGTTGAGACTAGTGTGGACGGAGAACATCCCCTTAAAATTTCAGCTTTCTAGCATCTCTGATCCCCGAGTTATGAACTTACCCAGGAAAAATTTTGGCGAGCCCGTACGCGGGTACCACACTTGCTCGGGGACTGGGTTTTAGCACATTAATGCCTACTTTGACGGAGAACATACCCTTAAAATTTCAGGTTTCTAGCTTTTCTAGTTCGCGAGTTATCAACTTACCCGAAAAAAATTTGGCGAGCTCATAGCGGGTACCACGCTTACCCGCGGGCTGGGTTTCAGCTCATTAATATCTACTTGGATGGGGAACATCCCCTTGAAACTTCAACCTTTTAGCTTTTCTGGTTCGCGAGTTATCAACTTACCCAGAAAAAGTTTTGACGGGCTCGTAAGCGAGTACCACGCTTACCCGCGGGCTGAGTTTTAGCTCTTTAATACCTACTTGGATGAGAAATATCCCCTTAAAATTTCAGCCTTCTAGCTTTTCTGGTTCGCGAGTTATTAACTTGCCCGAGAAAAATTTTGGCAGGCTCTTACGCGGGTACCACGCGGGTAAGGCCACCCATTTCGGGGATGGGGGCCCGTAAGTGCGTGTAGATTATGTCTGCAAAGGTTCAGCCCTGTAGCTTTTGCCGGTCTCGAGATGAAAAATCGGAACAGAAGCACACGCAGACACACACACAACACACACGCACACACAGACAACCCCTCGTCAATATGCGTTTTCTGCATTGCAGAGTTACAAAAAACGCAAAATTAAGTAACTCTAAGTAGCAGTGTGTTAAAACTAAAGTAAACTAGCAGTGTGTTACAACTCTATTCCTAGCTTTTGCGCAATCCCAGGATGGGAGAAGGCTCCCCCTGCTCCCCTCGCCCACGTGTCCTCCCTCGGTAGTCCGTCCTGGATCCACTTTCACCCTCGTTTGCTGAATTCGTAGAGCGGTGTTTAACAATTAGATGCACTTTTTCAGGTTTCCTAAAGCCACAAACAATGTGCCGAAACAGATGACATCGGAGGCCCAGGCTTCGAATGCGGCCGGTGCAGCTTCAAACGAAAATGATGCAACGGCACTGCAACTGGAGGGTGCAACAATCGGGGATGTGGAAGGGATTTCGGGGAATATGGAGGAGCAGGGTGCTGTTGGCGGAACCGGCAACAATAAAGAGGTAAGGATTTTTTGCAAGTCTTTTCATGCAAATGTTGTTTTGCTGCGTTTTTTTCCCTCTCTTTATTTCAGTGATTTTTTGGTTCAGGCGAAAGGAGCTGCTCTGCTCAAGTGGCGCTTTTGATCACTGGTTGCAGTAGCACTGTTGTTGGCTTCTTGGTGGCACTAACAGCTAAATTCAGCATATTTTAGGCAATGACTTCTGGTTTTTCATGGAACTCAAAATGGTGCTGAGATGCTCTTACCTCTCTCAAAAACTTAAAGAATATATTGAGAATGATGAGCATTTTTTAAAATCGTCTCCAGTTGCGAATTTGCACCCTGCAGATTCCAGGATCTCGCTTTTTGGGTTGTGCAGGTGTGCCGCGTATTTATCAGACGTGGTGTGACCACAGGGAATTTCTCTGGATATGAGAGCTAAGTAGAATCTGTTGAGGGCTATCAGAAAGTCGGTTCAAAGTAGTAGTTCTACTAGCTGTGAGAAGGAAATTACTTTGCAGAGAGAAAACATAGCAAGTGCTTGCAGGCATCTCCAACTCGTGCCAATGCGACGGCCTTCGTGCCAGACGATTATTCCAGAGAATACAACGAGATGTGCAACAAGTATAAAATGCAGTGTGTCGAAACGAAAAGGCCAGTCTGCTGGTTTATTGAACATTTCCTGCACCACAAACAGTAACTGACCAGTTGATGTTTTGCTTCTTACTCCCCAATCTTTTCCTTTTGTCCATTCTCTGCCTTCTTTGAAAAATGAGACATAACGTAAAAATTTAAAATTTTAGATTGGAAAAACAGAATGACCATTTGGAGGAGGTTATACAGCACTGGATCCAAGAATGTAATAGCGTGCGAGAGTCGTTCCGAAAATTCCGGAGGTTTTTGTCCTCTCAGTTCTTGTAGGAGAGGAAAGGGAAGGGAGGGTGGTGATTTCGGGCTTCATTGCCTCATAACTGTAATGATTTTCGAGCTGATTTTCAGTGAAAAGTCGGCCCGCTGTGAGCAGTTCGAACGCCGTGCCTTGAACTTGGAAATGCAGCTGATGACGACCACGCAGCGCTCGCAGGCACGTGAACTGCACCACCAGCAGCAGTTGGAGCAGTCCAACGAGAAGTGGGAGGAGAAATTATCGCAGGTGCAGTTACAGTTCAATGCATATTGGT